TGAGACCAGCCTGCCCAATATGGTGAAACTCTATCTCTATGAAAAAAGAACAAAAATTACCTGGGAGTGGAGGCGCATGCCTGTAACCTTAGCTACTTGGGAGGCTGAGGCAGGAGAATCACTTGAACTCTGGAGGCAGAGGTTGCACAGAGTCCAGATTGTGCAACTCTGTCAAGAAAGAAAGAAAAGGAAGGAATAAAGAAGGAAGGGAGGGAGTGAATAGAAAGAAAGAAAAGAAAGAAAGAATAGAAAAAAGAACTAAAGAACAAACAGGTTGATATAGTGTGATAAGTGAGAAGCTGTGGTACCAAAGTTGGTATAAGATGAACAAAGATTAGAATAAAATGAAAGAGAGGGATTCAAAAGACATTTGAGACAATCTACACAATTTGGCAAGTAATAGTATATTGATATGTGTGTGTGGATGTTATATTGAAAGGTATTGTAAAAAGTTAAGGATGTGCTCAATTTTCTGGGTTTTTTTTTTAGTACATTTCTTAGAAAGTACTGAGCAGACATTAATGCTATTCATCATCAACTAAGAGGCTGGCAGTTGAGGGTGGAGGAAAAGGATGAGGCACTTTTTTTCTTTTTTGAACACTTGCTGCTTTCAATATTATGTCTATGGAGTAACATTACATGGAGATGGTCCAATAGGCAGCAGGAAATATAAAAAGGAAGCTCAAAGACAGGGTGGTCAGCTGGAGATACAGAGTATGGAGCCACAGATATAGGATATTTAAAGTCAAAGGAGTAGTAAGGCCTTGTAGAAAGGGAAAAGGACAGAAGTGAAAACTCAGGGAACAAACTTTCCAGAGATGCATAGGAAACAAGCTCATAGGGACATAAAAGAACCAAGCAGTAGGGTCTTAAAATCCATAAAAGCAAATCTATTCGATAGTACCAAAGGTCTTATCTCATTACAACCTGTGAGGTCTGTATTCTTTTTTTAAAAAAATAGACTTAGGGAGTATAAGTGCAGTTTTGTTACATTGATATATTCTGTAGTGATGAAATCTGGGCTTTTAGTGTAACTACCACCCAACAGTGTACAATATGCGCATTACATAATCACGTATATTACATAATGTAATATATACATGATTTCTCTCATCTCTTCCCCTCTTCCCACCTTTCCAACTCCCCCGTGTTTACTATTCCACTTCCTATGTCCATGTGCACATAGTATTCAAGCTCCCACGTGTAACTGACAGCACACAGGATTTGACTTTCTATTACTGAGTTTTTTCACTTAAGACAGTGATTCCCAGGTCCATCCATCCATATTGCTGCAAAATTCACGTTTCATTCTTTTTATGGCTGAGCGATACTGTATGATATATGGATTGAAGACTTACATGTAAGACCTGAAACTACAAAAACTGTACAAGAAAACTCAGGGAAAACTCTTCCAGACATTGGCCTAGGCAAAGAATTTATGACAAACACCTCAAAAGCAAATGCAACTAAAACAAAAATAGACCAATGGCACTTAATTAAACTAAAAAGCTTCTGCAAAGCAAGAAATATTCACAGAGTAAACAGACAATTTGTGAAACAGAATGGAAGAAAATACAGGTAAACTATGCATCTGACAAAGGACTAGTGTCCAGAATCTGCAAGGAACTCAAACAACTCAATGAGAAAAAAAAAAAAAACCCTCTAAAAAGTGGGCAAAGGACATGAACAGGCATTTTTCAAATAAAAAAAAAAAAAACACAAAAATGTCCAACAAACATATAAGGTTTATATTCTTTCATTTATTTTGCCAATGAGAAGAACAACACCTAGAATGGGTGCTGACTATCAGGGTTCATGTGCCAAAAGGCAGCAGAAGCAAAATGTGAATGTGCTGCACTCTAGGTCCAAAGTCAATAAATTTTCCTCCAAAATCCATTGCCTCTTCAGCAACTGTATCACTGAATGACCTAAAAGTTCCAGTTACCCCATTTACCTCAAATTAAATGTAGGTAATCTCCTTCCTTAGGATTACTGGTTTCTATGACCAATAATTTATTTCTCCCCTTCCTGACTCTGCCACAAGGTCTGTGCTTTCACCAACTAATTCACTTCCATGAACTTAATCTGCTTCCAATTCTCTACAACCAGACTGCCAATTCCTGCCATCCTGCATTTTTTTCTTTCTCTTCCTTTAACTGATGTATCCCCCCGACTCTTTCCTACAATTCATGTTTCTGACCACCTTCAGAAACAATCTATACCTCATCTTACCCACTGATTAGCTCTCAAAATTAGGAATGTTCTACTGTTCTGTGCTCCTCTGGTATTATTCACAGACATGAACAAAGAATTTTGTGTCTTTGCTAATGAGCAAATTTTCAAATGAGTCTATTTTGTTCTTCTGAATCAACACCATAAGCTCTTTAAAGGAAGGTAAGGCTTTCCAGACTCAAGTTTTTTTGCTTTTTTTTTTTATGGCAGTGTCTCACTCTGTCACCCAGGCTGGAGTGCAGTGGAGTAATCTCAGCTCACTACAACATCCCCCTCCCAGATTCAAACAATTCTGGTGTCTCAGCCTCTCCAGTAGCTGGAATTACAGGCATGTGCCATGATACTTGGCTAATTTTTTGTATTCTTAGTAGAGATGGGGTTTCACCATGTTGGACAGGCTGATCTGGAACTCCTGACCCCAAGTGTTCCTCCCACTTCAGCCTCCCACAGTGTTGGAATTACAGGTGTGAACCACTGTGCCTAGCCCAGACTCAATTTTTAACCCTACAAGTTAAATGAGTAGAAGAGTAGGGTTAGAAATATAATATTAATAATAACTGGATATGGCCTGGCTCTCACAGGTTTAAGGCTAAAGAGTTAACTAAAATACGCACCAATTACAGATAAGGTAATTGGTTATTCAAACATTTAACATGAAATGACAGACACATAGGATATAAGGGGCCCAAACCAGTGGTATTTATCACAGGACATTGCAGATTTTACATGAAATAGTCTTTTTGTCAGTTTTAAGTTTTGTTCTCTCAGAATAAACTGTTTTAAATAACGATTTGAATAAATTGGATTTTTAGAAGAACGATCTACACTTCATTAACATTGTTATAAAATGCCTAAATCAACAGTATTTCAAATAAAGTAGTATTTTAGACTTCACCTTAAATATGTATTCTAGAAAATTTTTATTACAGTTGAGCAATATACTTCCCCTCAGCCCAGTTAATGGCCGAGACACAGTTCCAGTGTTAATATATCTAAGAGCAGCACAACATAAACCCTGTCTGGCTTCTGAATCTACATTTCAAGGATGGAATGAAACCAGTTAAACTAAAAAGAAACTCATATAACATCCCAGACCAGACATCATACAATAGGCAGTTATTATTATTTTTTTTTTGGAAGCCAGACATGAAAACGAATTATAGAACTGTTTTTTCGTGATTTCCATATTCCTTAAAACATACACAAATATTCTCAGATTTCATTTTGTGGGTTTGAACTCCAACTTTTTCCTTATTTTAAATAAAAAGCAACTGAATACCTATTCACATGGAATAAGCATACAGTAGCCTAGTTAGAAAGGCTCCAGAACCAGCCGCTCTGTTTGAATTCTCACAGATGAAGAAGTCATAGAATTTTGCACTTTGGACAAACACTACACAAGAAGCAGAAATATGAGACATTACGGATGTCATATCCTGCATAGCATTTTCAGAAGAGCTAACGATTTCCTTATATTTAAACCATATAAGGAAACATAAAATTAGTTATATATGTCTCGATTTACTGAGATCTTGAAGCACGTTTGATAATGAGCTAAACTTTACCCAGGTTATCACCTTTTATCCTCACAACAACCTTTGAGGTGAGTATATATGTGCTAGACACCAGGAAACTAAAGTAGAGAGAAATTAACAAGTGCCCAATGTCACATAAGCGGGTGTCAGTGCCAGTAGTTTAACCCAGAAAACTCATTCCTGAGTTTCAAATCTTAATCTCTGATTAATTCTCTTGAGTGCCACCTACTTTCTTTAGAGAAAAATAATTTTTCTGGTAAAAGTTAAAATAGCGTAATGTCATATTTTATGATGGGCAATAGGAACTTAGAACTTCCATGCTTCATAAAAATTATCTAAATCAAGAATATTCACCAAAGCTAAGGTAAAAGCAGGAAAAAAAACTAGAATGCATGAAAATTAACTAATGCCATTTCCAATGTTTGTTAAATAAGTTTGTCATCACCAACAACTATTTATGATCGGGCTTTGCTAGTGCATTCCTCATTCATGGAAGTAATATAGATTTCTTAAAAGTTTTCTAAATGTTTAGGGTATGAAAGAACAGTATACTCATAAGTTACACGCTAATAGTCTTAAAGAAGTAATTTTGTTCTTTAAAGTTGCTAATTTACTCAGAGAAAATATAAGATTAAGAATAAGTTTCATATTTTTAATTAATCCTTTGTCCAGCCTTATTTTCATGCTTCAAGTTGACAAATAATAAATCCAAGGGGAGAAAAAAGCCATTGCCAAAGCACTCTTTAACATAAAGCAGCCATAAAAATGTATACTTTACAATCTAATTTACATGTTTGTAAGAAACTACATATATATCTGCAATCCAGAAAGTTTCTTCCAATTATTAGTCTCTGAATTCTTCAGATCCCCCATTCATTAAAAGTTCTATCAGGAATTAGGAAGTAAATTTTCAGCTAAGTCAATTAAAAGCAAATACAACAGCTGTTTTTCATTTTCACTAGGTTACCTTTCCTGGTAAAAGCAGAATTTAGGGCACTTAGTAGGATCATTGCATCTAAAGACATTTAATTCTACTCAAATGTCGGAAGCTCTTAAAAACAATAGAAACACTAATAAATGAATATGCAGAGGAAAATGCCCTCAAAGAAAATGTTTTTTTTCAAATTTCCGTATAAAACAAATGATTAAAGAGTAAAGAACAGCATGAGGACTTCTGACTGAAAGCATGAATAAACATTTCTTTTGTATATACCACTTGAAAAATGTCCTTACCATATACTGCATATTAGAGGCTGTTGGATACACCTGACTTCGTAATTTATTATGAAGGTCCAAGATACTCTGCAGCTCATCCTGTGTGACGGCCCTTTTCCCTCTGTGCTTGGCTGTCCACCACTCACCATCCTCATCCATGTACTTTTCCAAAAGTTTCTCCAATAAAGTGGCATTAGGAACCACCATGGCTGGAATTGCTCCAGCCATGAACAGCACTGTGGTTACTCTGAGCCACTCCCGCGCGGTACACTTCATAATGAATGACCTCAGGATTTCCCCAGGAAAATCTCCAAGACAGGCTCTTCCACTCCTTTTGGCTATAACGACATGTCATGTGATTAAGACGAAAATGCCAGATGTGAATTTTCTAATAACTCAAGCAAAACAATAGTTACAAAGGAAGTTCGCCAGTTTGATTTGTCTATTTAACAGCAGAAAATGGACACCGACGTTTTGAAATAACTTATCTCCAACACATTTTTTTCTTCTAGAGGACTTTTCACAATGCAGTTTCCACTAAATAGACCACTCTATTATCCAAGATAATACCCGTGAGGGCAAAATTAAATGGCAAAAGTAGCCTAGAAGAGTCAAAGCTTGAAAATATCATGAATTGCAAGACGTTAAGTGGCTATACATTACATATACCCTGCAAAGGGTGTTATATACCTAGAAATTTTGATTTCCGTCTAGAGGTTCATGTTTCTCTATGAAGAGTGTTACATTTTATTTATGGTATTATTTTATTCCAGTGTCCCATCTCTGTTTCACAGACATTCAGAATGTCCACATCATTCTAAAACTGAGGGTGAATGTTTCAAAGAATACAAAAGGCTATTCATATATGCATCCATGGGTACATCTAGGGGGCCCCGGGAACTACTGAGAATGAATGGTTTGGGTCACTAGGGGAAGTCTCTTCTTACTCAGATTCAGGTCAATAACTCAATCTTTATTTCCTGGAAAGTTTGTGACTAATCTGTGGCCCGCACCCGAGGAAGCCAGCAACTCTCCGGCAACTCGAGAGCTCTTCCTCCCCTCCACTGCAGGCACACACTGTTCTTTCTCTGACCCAAATGGAAAGCGCGCGACAGAGAAAGGAGGCGAAACCAACACAGTCACTTACAATAACTAGAGCTCCCGCTAGTCTCGACGCAGCTGCTTTCCGAGTAGCCCACCCACCCCTCGTGCCTGACCACTCTCTACAACTTGGCTTTTTCGTTTAAGTACAGTTTAAGAAGTAAAAGAGAGATAGTAAAGGGTAGCAGCCTGACGACACAGCGATGAGTTTTAGAATCGTCCTTACCTCTCCAGTATAAAGTTTCCTGGGAGAGCGGAGCCGAACCAGACCGCAGGCCTCTGCAGCCGCCCAGAGCCTTCACTCGGGACTGCAGACCGAGAGCCCCGCTAAGGAAGGGCCCGAGCACCGCGCGTCCGGGGCGAGGGGGACGCTGACCGCAGGGGTACGGGAGCCTCCGCTGCTGCGGCTCCCACAGCCTGGAAGAAGTGCCAGGCAAAGCGTTCAATCAGACCTGCAGTTGGGGTGGGAAGGGAGCTACTTCGTTAGTTTGCCAGGGTGGGCGCGCCAGCTTCTCTGAGCCTTATCTGCAGGAGCGAGGGGCGGGGGGCTCGGCGGCGGGGCTCGGCGGCGACCTCTCGCTCCTGCTCGGTGCACCGGGGGCGCGCAGAACCGGGCGCCGAGAGCTTCAGCCGCTCTCTCGCGCTCGCGGGCATTTATTGCGGCCCCAGTGTGGGCACGTGACGTGAGCGCCCCTCCTCGCCCACCCCCACCTCCAGCCAGCCCTGGCCAGAGGCCCGCTGGTGCGTCGAGGAGCAGCCCGCCCCGCTTCTCCGGGGCGCGGCGAAGGCCGGGCGCTCGGCCTTTGTGGGCGTGCTTTGGGGTCCCGAGACCGGAGCCCGGAAGGTCTGCCCACCCGTGGGAGATGTGTGCAAGGAGGGCCCCCAACTCCCCTCCAACATCCCAGCTTGCCTGCTTTCCAAGATCCTCTTCCCAGGCAGTTCCTTTCTGCTGAGTTGCGGAAATGCCTTTAAGGGTCCTTAGAGAGGAGGGGCTGCCCCACAGAGCACGGAGTCGGTGGGGGATGGGGTTAACACCTTCAGTCTTGGAGGCACAGAAGGGGAAATCGGGGACAGAGTGGAGAGAGAAAGGTTTTTCCTTTTATTTTTTCCAGGAATCCACATCCTTGATGAGGACCAGGTGGGGAAGGGGTGCAATAGAATTTGGGGTAGGACTCAGACTCAGAATGGCCCGACAGCTGAGACCCTCTCTTTATTCATGAAATATGAAACATTGCCTTCTCAAGGCGGCCATAGTCCTTTTTTTTCTGATGATGTATACATTTAAGAAGTTGATATAAAGGGTACCATTAATTAATATACCAGGAACTGCAGACAGGAATTGAAACCCCAGCCCTAGAATAGATACTGAAAGGAGAGTCCAGTTCTGTTGTTCTTGTTGCAATTTGGAGTAAGAAAATTACTCATTTTAAATTCACAACAGTTCACCCTACTGAGTGTGGGGTCGTTTTTTTATTCTTGTTTTTAACTATTTAATCCATCTATGTTTGCTTCCCTAATGTGATAAATCAGAATCTCAACTTTCCTTCTCTCTAAATGCTAAAGTATCCACATGTGATCAAGTAAATAAAACATTGTGGTAGTAACTCAAATCATCCCAAACTTTTACCTGTCTCTTTTCACCATTCAACTACACCGTATCTATCAAACCTAAAAACTGAAATCCAAGCCTCAGATGAACTTGAGACCTTGCTTCCTGTCACAAAGAAAAGGGAAGCATCACTTATTAGAAAGGTGCAGAGGGCGAAAATTTTGATGCACATAAGGCTTTCATAGAAGTGTAATTTTGTAATTTTACAGCAGTTTTAAGTACAAAAATTTTTTTAACTTTATATTTTTCAAATAGTTATAATTTTCATGCACAAGTTTGAGAAAACTGGCTTTCCCTCCCAGAAGCTGATAGAAAACCCCCCAAGTTCGTGGCAAAAGAACTATCATTTGTTACAGCAGATAAAGACTATGTTTTTCCACTGCAGTTTTCAGGTGGCATTGAAAAGTATACTGAATATTGAATAAAGAGCCATTGAAAGTAATAATATTACTTGAAACATTTACAAAGAGAATTCAAATTAGTAAGAAGGGAATTAAAATGATAGGGAAGTGAAGTTAAATGAATGTGTAACTCTTGAATATTTCATTTGTAAATATTTCTTACATTACACGATGTGTGCATCCAACACCTAAGGGCTTACAATAAAAATTAAGGTTTTAATTCCAAATCTTTCTCTAGGCAAGGAAAAATAAAATATCCTTCGACTCAGCATTTCTTTTGGCTTCCAATTTGGGTACTGCAGGTGATTTAAACATTCATCATGTTAACATTAGCATTTTAATAATACATCGTGTCATTCTTGATTGAGTATATATGTCAGAAATGCCATTTTGACTACTAAAATTGAACACAGTATTCTTGAATACTCAAAGATGACACTGTTCACATTTTTATTTGTTGTTGAGAAATCTGTGTGTAGACATAAGAAAATGTCTTCTTCACACAGAATTCATGTAAAAGTGGCACTTTGGTTTGTGGCTAAGGCTGTTACTTGGAAAGCTCTGGTTGTTTTTAGCCTTACTACTTTCTTGTGGCAAACACTGGTGGTTGCCTAACCAACAACCAGTCTTCCACCCCTTTCTTTCTTCCAAGCCCATAGCCTCCAATTTACTGGGGGTATCCACCCTCTCACATGCTGTCAAACTGGCATCTTCAGGAGGCGAATGTTGATTACTTAAAGCCAGTCATCACAATCTATCTCTGCCACCAGTGACTGAGACTGATTTAGCATGGTCATGTCATGCAACCCTGGCTGTTAAGGGTAAAGAGAAGGGCTAGCAAGGGTTTACTTCTGTGATAAAAAGATATGCAAAAAGAGAAAATGTCTCTCTAGGTACCAATGTGTAAGTCTGTGAAACCGAAAGATGTAGTTCTTAGATTGCAAAGAAGACAGACCAGCCTGAGGGAAGAAACCCATTACCCTGGCCAAACAAAAAGATGAACTGTGCATGAACCTCCCTGCCATTGACCAATCACTGAAACACCTATCTTCCATTTTTCTTGCTAAAATCAATAATGCATAAATTGTTTAAATCACAGTGACTTGAGTATTCAGTTACTTGCAGCCCAAAGCATTCTAACAGATAAATTTCTACAAAGAAGATACATGTTCTGTCAATATAATGTTTTCTCCATGCAGCTATTATTTCTGCTTATGTGCATGGATAAGTTATCTTTAAATCTATTCTTATGTGTTCTATCACAGAACTTGTGAAAGTGGATATATATAGACATTTTGTTAACTGTATAATTTCATGACTCCATGTCTATTCTATCACTTTTTTGGTAAGCCCATCCTCTATTTCAGAGGTATAAGAATAGAAATCCTGTTATGTTGGAAGGTAGAATCAGTGTAAGGCAATGTTTTAAAACACGGAATTTAAATTAAACTACCTAAATTAGATTCATGAAGTGCCACTAGTCAGTGGACTTTATGCAGCCCTGGATCCTTTCTCTTTAAAGGGAAATAATACAAGCTATCTCATCTGTTACTTTGTGTATTAACATGAGTTAATACACGAAAGCACTTCAAACATAACAGGTAAGTAGAAAGTACTTAAATAGGGTAAATGTTATTTAAAGCCAGAAACTAGCCTTAGGAGACCCAAATATGGAATCAAGGTTGTGGAATGTCCCAGCTTGGGAAGGAATGCTGACAAATTGGTTTGCATCCTTGTTGCCCCTGGCCAGACCAGCAGATGGCCCATTACTCAAGATAACCATCCCACCCAAAGATGCTAGCCTGTATCTGCTACCCCTCACAAGGTGTGCCCATAAATTCTTACACATGATGCCAATTCTCTTACTCTGCCTAATTAAAAAAATTCACATCAGCTTTTTCAGGGAGTCAGTGGGAAGATTCTTTTGCTTCTGCTGTCTCCCTTACACTCAAGCACAAGCCCCAAATAAAAGCCTTGTCTGGGAAGTCTGTTTGTCCAGTTTTAATTTTCATTACATTGGAAGCCAAAGAGTCCGTGGTCTATAACAATTCCATTTCCGGCTGCTTTTGTGTCTATTTACTTGTTCAATATCTTTGTGAGATTTATTCATGTTGTTGTATATAGCTGTATATACAATACTTATATGGCCAGTTTTTAAAAAAACTTTGGCAGGGCACAGTGGTTCATGCCTGTTATCCCAGCAATTTGGGAAGCTGAGGCAGGTGGATCATTTGAAGTCAGGAGTTTCTGACCCACCTGGCTAACATGGTGAAACCCTGTATCTACTAAAAATACAAAAAAAAAGAAAGAAAAGAAAAGAGCCAGGCATGATGGCCCATGCTTGTAATCCCAGCTACTTGGGAGGCTAAGGCAAGAGAATCTCTTGAACCTGAGAGGCAGAGGTTGCAGTGAGCCAACATTGTGCCATTGCCTTTCAACCTGGGTGACAGAGGGAGACTCTGTCTCAAAAAAAAATTTTTTTAATCAAAATAAAATCACCTTTAAAACTTCATTTTTATTTTTACTTTCACCACCCTTGCTTCCCTCTATGCAGTTGGAAACAAGAAAAAAAAATTCTGTATGTACTTCTGTGCTTTTTCTTTAATAAACATACCACAATTTATTTGTCTATTCTGTTGTTGAATATTAGGATTGCTTCCAGTTTAGGACTATTAAAAATAGCACTGCTAAGAACATTCTCATACATGTCTTTCTGTGCACATATTTACACTTTTAAACAAATTGGCTGTGTAGTTTAGAGTAGAACTACTGGGGCCTAAGTTATGCTCCTGTAGAACCTGAGTGGATAAACTAGGTTGTATACCTTCTTAATTTGTAAGATTTTTTTTGTTTTTGGTATATGTCCATTTTAGACATAAAGTGTATCATACATTTATTATTCCTCTCCTTGCTTTGGCTTGTTAGTTTCTTAATTATGTCTACTAAAGAAACAATGTCCTACTTTTAACGAAGTCCCATTTATCAATTTTTTCCTTTATGGTTAGTGTTTTGTGGAACCGACTAGAGAATCATAAAGAAAAGTCTCTTTTGTTATCTTCCAGCATTATTATTTTACATTTTACAGTCAGATCTTTGATCTATCTGAAATATGTTTTTGTTTTATAATGTGAAGAAGGAAAAATTTAAGATTACAATGATTATAAAAAAGCTTACATTACTTGACATCACTATAAAAAATTTGTATGTTTTAGAGAACATTCAGGTTTCAGAATAAGAGAGAGAAAAAATGCCATTGTTCCTTAAATCTAGAATTATTATGGTGTTTCAATTGGATCGTTTAAAAATATAACTGCTGAAACATGAATTAAACTGGAGGCCACTATCCTAAATGAAGTAACTCAGAAATGGAAAGTCAAATACTACATGTCCTCACTTGTAAGTGGGAGATAAGCAGTGGAAACACATGGACCTGCGGAGTGGAATGATAGACCCTGGAGACTACAAAAGGTGGGGGTGAGAGGAAGGTCAGGGATGGAACGTTACCTCTTGGGTACAATGTTCATATCCGGATGACTTCACCGCTGCACAGTATATCCATGCAGCAAAACTACACTCGTGCCCCCTAAATCTATGAAAGCGTTAAAAAGAAAAAAAAGTATTTTACTGCTGAGGCCTCTATTAATGCCATAATCCAAAAACTCTATATTTCTC